TGTTCATTCTGCTGGCCCATAATAACCATGACAAAGTGTTAGCCGGCAGCTAACGTTACTTCTACAGGCGACACACAGTAATGTACACAACAACTGTCACAAACCCCCGGTTGTGACCCTGGCCTGCCTGTTGCCCTGAGGCTGCTGGTGGGCATGGTAATCTGAGCTCCAGGCTTTCCCACCTGAAGCACATCCGCAATCAGCACACCAGGGCCTCTGCCTGCAATCGACATGCCTTTAAGAGATCTGCCAACCTTCCAGTCCCCGCCGGATCATTTTACTTAACCGTATGGACACGCCAGCCAGTTTGTCTGTCTTAGTTTCAGGATTTTGTCTGAACCTTCAAACCAGTGTTAACTGCTCTCTCTTTGTCTCGACCTCAGGAAACCTGCACAGCACCACGCGGATTCCCTCCTGTGCCCCGGAATCATCTAAGCTCTGGGACCAGAACCGCAGACCCTCAGAACGACCACCTCACCACAACCTCTCCCAGGACACCCCTTGTGCTCAATAAACCACTTCTGTGCATTTCTCTAGTCTGCGTTTGAGTTTCTGGCCCTCGGTCCTGACAGAACGATCCGGCCAGAATGGACTCAGCAGACCTAGAGCCGGTCCGCCATGCAGTCTCCACTCAGGGAGCGATCCTGGACCAACACAGCACTGCCCTTCAGGAAATCATGGGAGGACTACAAGATCTGTCACTCCGCATGGGAAACCTCCAGGACTCCCTGCAAGGTCCTCCACCCGCACCTGCCGCATCAGCAGCCGCACGCTCCGCCAGGGAACCGTGGGTATCCCCACAAGAGCGGTATGATGGCAACTTAGGCCAATGCCAAACTTTCCTCATGCAATGTGGTCTTATCTTCGCTCTCCAACCCCTCACCTATGCCTCAGAAAGGTTGAAGATTGCCTACCTCATCGGACTGCTGCGCGGAGCAATGTTGGAATGGGCCTCGGTTCACTGGAGGAGGCAGGACCGGATAACCACCTCCTATGCCGCCTTTACCACGGAGATGACTAAGGTATTTGACCACCCGTTTCGAGGTAACGACCCCTCCATGAGACTGCTCACCCTCCGCCAGGGACTCCGGAGCGTGGCTGAGTACGCCGTTGAGTTCAGGACTCTGGCCGTTGAGAGCGGTTGGAATGAGGTATCTCTACTGTCTGTATTCACCAATGGGCTAAATGAACATTTGAAAGATGAACTACTGTCTAAGCTAGATCTCCGCAATGCCTATCATTTGGTTCGCATCCGGGAGGGGGACGAGTGGAAGACTGCCTTCAATACCCCCCTGGGACACTTTGAATACTTAGTCAGGCCAAAAGGCATCACCAACACACCTGCAGTATTTCAGTGTTTGATTAATGACGTGCTCAGAGATATGCTGGGCAGATTTGTTTTTGTCTACCATGACGATATCTTAATCTTCTCCCAGAACCAAGCAGAACACATCCAGCATGTCCGACAAGTCCTCTATCGTCTCCTGGAGAACCACCTTTTCGTTAAAGCAGAGAAGTGCGAGTTCCACGCCTCCACTGTAACATTCCTCGGCCACATCGTCGCTGGGGACAGGTGAGGATGGATCCTGCGAAAGTGAGAGCAGTTTTAGACTGGCCCCGACCAGACTCTAGGAAACAGCTACAGAGATTCTTGGGGTTTGCCAACTTTTACAGACGTTTCATAAGAAATTACGGCCGCACTGCTGCACCATTAACTGCACTTACTTCTCCAGCTAGGCCATTCCACTGGACCTCTGAGGCTGAAGGAGCTTTTTTAGAACTCAAGAGAAGGTTTACGTCAGCCCCCATCCTCACCAGTCCTGACCCGTCCCGGCAGTTTGTGGTGGAGGTGGATGCTTCGGACGTAGGGGTGGGAGCCGTCCTGTCCCAAAGGTCACTCGAGGACAAGAAGCCTCACCCTTGTGCATTCCTCAGATCGGTTGTCTCCCTCTGAAAAGAATTATGATGTCGGGAACCGGGAATTATTGGCCGTTAAGATGGCCCTCGAGGAGTGGCGACATTGGCTCGAGGGCACCGAGCAACCGTTTGTGGTCTGGACCGACCATAAGAACCTGGAATACATCCGCTCGGCGAAGCGCGTGAACACCCGTCAGGCCAGGTGGGTGCTTTACTTTGGTCGGTTCAATTTTGCCCTTACCTACAGGCCCGGGTCCAGGAATGCTAAACCTGACGCTCTATCCCGGATGTTCGTCAGAGAGGTGACTACGGCAGACCCAGACACCATAATACCCAAGACTTGTATCATTGGGGCGGCCCTGTGGGAGATTGAGAAGGAGGTGAGAACGGCCCTTCAGCATCAGCCAGACCCAGGTAACGGCCCCCCAGGCCACTTGTTTGTGCCTCTCTCTGTTCGTTCATCTGTGCTACAGTGGGGTCACTCCTCCAAACTCTCATGCCATCATGGGGTTACCCGCTCTCTGGCCTTCCTGCGCAGACGGTTTTGGTGGCCAGAGATGAGGGCCGATGTCCATGCCTTTGTTTCTGCCTGTCCCGTCTGTGCACAGAACAAAGGCTCCAACCGGCCTCCTCCAGGATACCTGCAGCCTCTACCCATACCTCGTTGTCCGTGGTCCCACCTATCTCTGGATTTCGTGTCTGGGCTGCCCCCCTCGAAAGGTATGACTGTGGTACTCACTGTAGTGGATCACTTTAGCAAATTTGCACGTTATCTGCCTCTGCCCACAGCTAAGGAAACCGCTGAACTCCTGGTCTCGGTGGTGTCCATGGTCTACCTTTGGACATCGTCTCAGACCGGGGTCCACAATTCACATCAGCGGTCTGGAGGGCGTTCTGCCGTGCAATCGGGGCCACCGTCAGCCTGACCTCGGGGTTCCATCCCCAGGCTAACGGCCAGGCAGAGCGAGCCAACCAGAAGCTGGAGACGACTCTGCGTTGCTTGGCGTCCTCCAACCCCACTTCCTGTGCTTCCCAGTTGCCATGGGTGGAATACGCCCACAACACTCTCCCTATGTCCGCCACAGGTCTGTCACCCTTTCAATGTGTTTATGGTTTTCAACCTCCACTGTTTCCCTCTCAGGAGAGAGTTGGCTGTCCCCTCTGTCCAAGCTTACATCCGCAGATGCCACCGCATCTTGCACAGAGCTCGAGCCACCCTCCTGAGGACATCGGCTCGGTATGAGTATCACGCCAACCGTCGTCGTACCCCTGCACCCTCCTACGCCGTAGGGGACAAGGTCTGGCTCTCCACCCGGGACCTTCCCTTGAGGACTGACTCCAAGAAGCTGTCTCAGAAATACATTGGGCCCTTGGTGGTGGAGAGAATTATCACCCCAGTGACCGTTCGGCTTCGTCTGCCCCCCACACTTAAGGTTCACCCTACGTTCCACGTGTCCTTGCTCAAGCCTGTCTTCATCAGCCCCCTGCTCCCTCCTCTCCCGGCCCCTCCACCCACCCGACTCATTGATGGTCACCCTGCGTGCACGGTACGTCGGGTTCTGGACTCCCGCCGTCGAGGGCGCGGCATACAGTATCTCATCGACTGGGAGGGCTATGGCCCTGAGGAGAGGAGCTGGGTTCCCCGACGACAGGTTTTGGATGCCGCCCTCTTACAGGCTTTTCATCGCTCTCACCCCAAGAGGCCTGGAGGGTCACCGGGAGGCTCTCGTCGGGGAGGGGGTACTGTCACAAACCCCCGGTCGTGACCCTGGCCTGTCTGTTGCCCTGAGGCTGCTGGTGGGCGTGGTAATCTGAGCTCCAGGCTTTCCCACCTGAAGCACATCCGCAATCAGCACACCAGGGCCTCTGCCTGCAATCGACATGCCTTTAAGAGATCTGCCAACCTTCCAGTCCCCGCCGGATGGTTGTACTTAACCGTATGGACACGCCAGCCAGTTTGTCTGTCTTAGTTTCAGGATTTTGTCTGAACCTTCAAACCAGTGTTAACTGCTCTCTCTTTGTCTCGACCTCAGGAAACCTGCACATGCACCACGCAGATTCCCTCCTGTGCCCCGGAATCATCTAAGCTCTGGGACCAGAACCGCAGACCCTCAGAACGACCACCTCACCCCAACCTCTCCCAGGACACCCCTTGTGCTCAATAAACCACTTCTGTGCATTTCTCTAGTCTGCGTTTGAGTTTCTGGCCCCCGGTCCTGACAACAACTGTGCATGCTCGCTTTTGTCTGTCTTGTAAAATACACCCAACAACTGATTGGATCTGAACAACCTACAACGAGCACACTGCAGCAAACCCCTCTTACCGGCGGAATCGCAGGCGTCCTGTGGTCAGAGCTGCTGAATCACTAATGGTGTGTGAACGGGAGGGCTCGTCACGGATGAGGTCATCAGGTGAAAGGATGGGTCATTTTATTTAATGCAAAATTATTATTCGTTCATTTTACTAATAGTTTGATTGGGCAGACCTTCACAAAGGGGCCATCCATCTTAATCCGCTTATCCGGGATCGGGTCGCGGGGACAAAGGGGCCTGATAAAAGGGCACTTTGGGCATCAAAGGGCAAGTGTCCAAGCACCCATGGCACCCCCCTCTGCATGTGTATGATTAGTCGGGTAACCTGGCCCAGTGACCTGTGGCAGGTGCTGTCCTAGTTTTCCTCATTGAACGTCCAAAACCCCTTTTCCTGTGGCCTGTGGATTATCCTGAGTGACAGGGACACTGGGAAGGAATAGTGTGATTAAATATTCAACATTTTAATTGTTCTAAATCAGTTTAACAGGAGCTCCAGTTTTAATTTCTGAGAACACAGGGACATTGTGGGAAGGAATACTTCACTGCATATGTATGTATGTGTGTATATATGTATGTATATATATATATCCCCAGGCTGTAAAATTAGATTTATGACAGGCTTGTTCCAGTGCTTGAGCCTTTTATTCTCGTACAAAGTATCATTTTACAGATTATACTGTATGAAAGAATGTTCTAAAAGAAAGTTCATAACACATTCAGTCTGCTCTTCTTAAAGGAATCATCAGATCGTCAGACGGTCTTCGAAAGTCAGTCATCCCAGCACTTTTGATCTGCAGGTACCAAAAAAGGGAGAAAATGAATGTTGCACAAACTGGAAACTAAAGCAGTTTGATTCCATCGACTTAACTTGAAGGATTCAGTTTGGTGAAGCAACACTATGGTCACTGATATTACATGCAAGTCACTGTCAAACCAATATAATATCAGTGTGGCAAATTCTGTTATTCTAACCACCTACAGATTTCATATAAACAAAGATGATCTGATTCACACCCAGCGATGGATTGGCGACCTGTCCAGTGTGTAACCCGCTTTTCACCCGACCCTGTACGCAGGATAAGCGGTTGACGATGGATGGATGGATGGATGGATCTGATTCACAAAGACATTTCTTACTAGGGACACAGTATGTTATATATCTGAGCTGTAAGTTGGAATTTTAATTGTAAAATTAGCTTTCATCACTTGGAATAATTCACATCACTTCTACACAAACCACTATGTTGTTTTACCTCCATGATTGATTTGCAAACAGTTCTGCCTGCCGCCCAGATTATTAGGCTCTCCAGCACACCAGTTCAAGTAGTTAAAAGGTGTACCATCAATCCAGAACCACTGGTTCTCCTGGAAGACAGAAGAGAATTGGATATTAAGTGAACTTAAAAGCATTTATTATCAGTTTTATTTAAGGCTCCTCCTAAATGTGGAGATGGTGTCTGCCTCCCGAATCCAAACTGGGACCTGACTGGGACCTGACTGAGGAATTGATGGCTGAAGGATCTAGCTCCCATTTTACTTTTGGAACCACAAGTAACCCTGTGTTGGAACCAGTATGTATATAAGTTATCTTATATTTATTCTCGCTCATGCAATCTGAAAATAGATAGATAGATATAGATATATATATCTCAAGACGTGTACTAATGCAATTGTGTAAGTCTGTCTGTAGAAATGTACTGACAGGAAGTCTACAGCGGATGGTGTGACTGAAGGAAATGACACACGGAACAGCAAACTGAAATAACTGGAACCGAGTCCTGGCCCTGAGGAGCGACTGAGCTTAACGTACATAGTTCCTGGAACAGTACTGTACAATAATGTATGTCACGTTGAATGTTGCTGCTCTAAGGGGAAAGGGGGTGCAGCTCTTTATTGATGCTAAATAATTGAATATAGGTTATTATTTATTGTATTAACTTAATGTTGTTTCTAGAGCAGCAACATGATTTACAACAGCAAAGCCACTAATATCTTACTGGAAACAAATCTAAAATGTCAGTAAAATAAATCATATTCCTGACATCAACATACTGAGTGATGAACAGCTCAGTCCCTCCTGTCCTCCTCCTCCCTCTGCTGCTGCTAGTAGTGTGTAGAGGGGAGGCGCTCTGCACACAGAGGAGGGGAGAGGCTGCAGGTCGGACAGCGCATGTGAAACTCAACAAAGATTAGAAGGAAACGACATAGCTCACTCTTTAGCTACTTTCATACACTATAGGCCTACATGTAGTTTACTTCTGTTCCGGATGTGGCCCGCGGGCCGCCAGTTTAATAGGCCTGTTGTAGAGTTGAAGTGCAGAGGGGGGCCAGGGATTCCAAGGTATGTGTTACAGGGGTACTGTCCCCTGTTGGCTCCCCCACAAAACCACCACAGTGTATATGTCATTGCCTCTAGTATATTTTCCTTTCATAACTATTCATCACAATTAACCACTATAACATCTAACATTGGTGTGGTCCTTGTTAGTTAAATGGAGTTATGTAGACTGAGGTTCAGGACCACGCCTCTCTCACTTATTCGACCACCTGCGCCTTATTCTATTCCTCCAATCAACCACCCAGTGCGTCACTCATTTCATCCACCTGTGCCTCTCGAATCCAATCACATGCACTCACGTATATAAGCTGTCAGTTCTCACATCCCTCCCACCCAAACCCTGTTTTTACAGCTCTGCTGCCTCACAGCATTGTTTCTGGGTTTAGACATTGCTCAGCAGGCCTTTCTGCGCAGAGTTTGCATGTTCTCCCCGTGGTTGCGTGGGGTTCCCTCGGGCACTCTGGTTTCCTCCCACCATGAAAGACATGCACGCTAAAATCCATAATTCTGCAAAGTAATCACTTTGTCTTTTTCTGCAACAGGAACCACAGGGGGTTCATAAGACCAAGCCGCTTATCGAGACGAGCCCCCACCATGACTCTCAACATCTCCATTCATAACTATTCGTAAATATTCATCACAATAAACCACTATAAAATCTAACATTGGCATGGTCCTTGTTAGTGAAGTAGCAGCAAGTGAAGAAGAAGGTTTTTCATATTGCAGATTCATCCTTGAAGGCTTTCTTGTGCTTGTATTTTAGACTGAACAATAGAAAAAGTTTGGAGAGCCTCTAAACCCAGTCACTCAGTTCCACTGTGTGTTTTACATTACTGCCTCTGTTTTATTAATGTGATATTAATTTTAAAACACTACAAATTCCAGGTTCAACCTAACTGTACACTGTTGTTCTGTTAGTTTTTCACTGACAAATTGCCTTTTTTTAAGATACTGTCCTCTACTGCAGGGCATGTTGTGTTTAGTTTCCTCATTTCATCAGGACTTCACATTTTATATACAAATGGCAGGTCTCTCAAATGGCTCTCTTTGTTTCTGGAGCATTTAATCTTCCAACGCTGTTTCCTAGAAATTATGTTTATATAGTAGTAATTTTCCCGATTATGTTGAGGTAGGGAATGATATTGGCTGCTAATTGATCACTAAGTCGCCCTTAGTTACAGTTGCTACACTGGCTTTCTGTTCTTGCACAGCTCATATGCAGTTAACAGTGATAAATTATTCTTCTGATGCAAATTATTATATAAATGAAATTTGTAGGAAACAGTGGCACCTCCTTAGCTCACGATGTCCATCCAGGGAGCCACTGGACCATGTGGATGACCGGGGAGTGCACACTGACAATAAACTGGACTGGGCCAAGAACACTTAAGCCCTCTACAGGAAGGGCCGGAGCTGTCTCTATTTTCTGAGGAGCTCTTCAACTGCTGGTTGCACATGTAGATGCAGCAGCTGGTAGCTCATTCAAACTTCACTAAACGTTTGTTTTTAATCTGTTCTCTCCGGCTTTATTGTCAAAACAATACCTATGACACGGCAGGTCACTGATCACTCAGAGGAGAGGAAAGAGAGCCGGGATAGATGTGTTGGCCCAGCTTTGATTTAAGGCTGCTCCTAAAGGTTTGGTCTGGACAAATGGGACTCATGTTGGCCAAACAACTCAGAGACTGGGGTGCCCTCATCTTTATTTTCTATTTCATTATATTATCTATATTTACTTAATGTTATGTTTAGTAAAGTGAGCAACTGTAACGCAACAGTTTCCCTCAGGGATCAAAGTATTTATGATTTCTAGCTATTAGTATAAATGCTTTTGAATTACATCGATTACATCATTTACATGTTAGCAGACAAAATAAAGGCACATTACTGAGTATACCATGTGTGATGTCTCTGTGTATGGTTGTTCAGTTCTGTTTTTTAAGAGATGCCAAGATAAGTAGCTGCATATAAGGGCTGGTGTTTCTCTTCATCATTGTCTCTGCACTATACAGCAGAATCTACAGAAGCTGAGAAGGAAGAAGGTAATTCTGCAGCTACAAGCTTCGCGCTTCCTTTTCCTGGACTGACAGTCAGCATGGGTCGTCTGTTCACTACATATTAGTAACATCTCTCTCTCTCTGTCGCAGGTTTTCATCATCTCTGGCTTCATCTCCACCATGAAGATGTTGACTGTGTCTGCACTTGTTTGTGCCATGATGGTTCTGACTAGAGCTGCTGGTCAGCTTTATAAATACAAAGTGTTACAGATGAATGTTTTGTATGACAACAATCCAGATCAATAACTGCTGTGTATAACTTTCTAGCTCTTCCAGAGGCAGCACCTGAAAATGGCCAGCCAGGTCAGTTGTGTTATATTTTATTACGTTATTTTAATTTACGTTTACTTATATTATGCCGTTATGGAATTTAAATCGCAATTGTGTTTTACTGTGTAAAGTAATTTTATGTTGTATCATGACATGAATATTTTATGTTATGTTACAGTGTCATGTCATGAAAATAAGTTGATTTCATATCTACATATAGAGACTTTAACTGGAGACTCCACATTACTCACCAAACTCTATTTGTTCTCAGCAAAGAGTCACCTGGTCAAGAGTTCGACAGCTTGTTCTGGTCGCTGGTCTGAGTTCAGCGGTCGCTGTTTCCACTACGTTCCAAAAGCCATGACTTGGGCCAAAGCTGAGGTAAAGAGGGAGACTTTTTAGTCACTGTTTTAGTACAGAAGGCTTCTACAATATGTTTATTTTGTTTGCACATACATAGACATTTGGTTAATTTGCAATTTCTCTCTCTCTCTCGTATTTATCTCCACTGTAGAAAAACTGTGAGTCCATGGGTGGAAACCTTGCGTCCGTTCACAACCTGCTGGAGTACCATGAGATTCAGAGGCTGATCATGAGCGCAAGTTATGATTACACAGTAACGTGGATTGGAGGCTCGGATGCACAAGAGGTATATTTATCTTTACAAGAGGTCTTCTGGTTATTAGTGTTATTAATTAATTTAATATTTTGTGTTTCTTCTAGGAGGGTGTGTGGTTGTGGAGTGATGGTACACCCTTCAACTATCGGTCTTCTGGAAGGTTTAATAACTTTCAGGGCAAGCAGCACTGTCTACAGATAAATTATGGAGGTAAATCACAGCGTACTGATTTCATTTAGAGCATTATGTATGAGTAGCATATAATACACACATATCTATACTTTTTTGGAAGGTTTTCTCTTATTAAACAAAAACCTTTGCTGTTAAAATGCTATGTATGTATGGCATAGTGCTGTGTTGTGTGCACAGAACAATCCCACACGTGGTCCATTAGTAGTTGACCATATTACATGAACTTCCTCAGTAGTTAGAGTTTGATGAAGTGTCATGGAATTGTAGGTTTTTCAAATTTCCATTGTCCTGCGTATTTTAAGATCTTAAACACAACACCGATGAAACGTCATTAACGGTAAAGAAATTTGAACATCAACATTTTGAGAGGAAAACCGTGTGAAAGCTCCAGACCAGCTGCTAATGGGTCGAATGAATGAACTTTCAGTCTCAAATATTCTTTCTTTGTGAATGTCAGTATACATACTTTCACATGTTGGTTTTTGTAGTGTCGCCTTAACTGCTGTGTCGTTGGTACTTTCAGATGATAAGCGCTGGGATGACACCTGGTGTAACGTTCGCCGCCCATCAGTTTGTGCCAAAAAGCCCTGATAATTCTCAGGTGGAGAACCTCCCAGAAGCCCAAACATGGGTGGATGTGTGTTTGTGTGTATGTGGGATGCATCTGTCTTTGTGCCATCAGTCTCAAATCTCCATATATTCTGTTTAAATCACATTTTTATATATCGCTGTGACGCAACTTAAGGAAAGAAACAACAAGTGACAGAAACAGTTGCTGGATCGTTTCTGAGGCCATGTGGCTTTAATAACAGCAGATTGAATCTGTTGTTTAGAACAACATTATTCTGCACAGTGAACTGTTCTTTCTTGTCTTTGAAAAAAAAAGTCTCAAGCATTGAAATAAGCTGTGTCATATCTCCTGTTTTTATTTCCCACATCTCGATCAAATGTGGGCATCTTTGAATGGTTTTGTATCAACTAAAAAAATCAACAAAAAAACTTTTGTTTACTGCAATCTGCTGTTTTGTCCACATCAGCTGTTGCAGCTCGGCTCACATTTATGACAGCTGAAGCATCTCACTGCATATACAAGTGAAACTAAGAGTGTGGGAATGTGAAAACTTATTTAGTGACAAAATACACAGAATTGATACAAGCCGACTATCATTAGTAAAGAGCAGGGTGAAAACAGTCAAGTGGCAGCTTCAGCTTTTTTTGCAGCTTAAAAAAAAATGTGATACGACAATTTCTGCCTGCTGAGTCATCAGTTATTATAAATTACCTGAAGTATGTTTAGATTCATCAATGTTTTGTTAGATTTGGCAGAAGTAGCATTTCCTTAATAAGATTAGTCTGAAATCTCTCAACATTTCTGATGTTTCCTCATAATTTAGGAAAGAAGAACAGTTTGAGACCAGGATCAATTGGCAGTCTTGAAAAAAAAGACTATAAATCAGGAGGGGTTTATTCTGATATAATCCATTTGCAATAGTGTTACAAAGTGACTAAATACTTTCATTAAAAATGCGATCCCCTCGAAAAACGTTTTAAAACATTAAAACAATTCTCAGCTTTGAGAAATAATTTGTATCTGATTTGGTTTCCCCACAAACAGAAACATTCAATTACCTGGTTAAAGAGTTTAAAGTTCAACCACAAACAATATGAGTGCATTAGCTTCCTTATATTTTACTTATCTGTTGAGAACCTATTTTAACAACAGTCGGAAGCAGCAAATTAAGCAAAATATAAAAATATTCTCAGGTATGGAGATGTCTGCTGTCCCCCTCTTCTTCCTATGCATCCCTTCATATTTCTGCCATCACTGGTTCACTGCTGAACATTTATTAGAACTCTGCCCCCTGCTGTAAGGAAGCTCAACTACCATCAAGCTTCATTTTCTGGAGAACATGCAGAATTAATTCAGCAAAAGTCAAAAACAGAAAAGAAGGATCACAGAAATGTTGTGTATAATCACTGTTAAAAGAAAAACAAAGCACAATTTCATGACACAAAACAGCCTGAAATTAGATTTATCTTTTGATCTCCCCGTTTTATTTTTTTTAAATGTAATGAAGGTGAGGCACTTTTTGTGACATTTATTGGTTATACATTTACAAGTTTAAAACGCAACTAGGATTTCTATTTACACGCTTGGATTCACACTTCAACTATGATTACAGTTTAATGCATCTGCAGACATGAACATAAAATATATCTTTATAACCAGGAGATGGTGCCACTGACCGAGTTCACTGTCACACTGTGCTGATGTTTATGAATAGGCCTATTATTATATTAAACAAAGTCTGAAAGTCACCTGTTCTGCAGCTGCATGTTTTTACACAAGTCTTCTTTAGCATCAATAGAAGAGAAATAAAAAGGGTTTGATAATATTTAACTCCTGTGTTTTATTAAAAGTGATTAAAATTCCTCATTGTTTGGTGATTTTCATTCTTATGTTAGTTTTGTTCACCCCACCTTGCTTTAATGTGTATTTTCTTATCTGTTTTGTAGTGTTTTATCTGGATCCTGAGTGTGGGATCAATACAGTCTCTTATCTTAAAAGTGTTTTTGTATTAACCTAAACTTGTCATATCGCTTCATTTCTATTTTCAGAACTCCAGGATGCTTCATGTAAAGCTCAGTCAGTCCCTTTACTTTGGTGCCTTCACTGTCCTGGATTTCCACACTCATCCTCCTCGCCACGATACACTCATGTAGAGGTAAATTACACACATCCCTAACAGTCTAGTTTATGTTTACATGTAAAGTTATTCTGCTGATTTTGTACTAAACAAGTGTATTCTGCAGAAATAAACACCATAATGCTTTTCAGCTCAGTCTAATGTGATTGGTCCATCCAAGCCAATACTGGCAATGGTTGGTGAGGACATCACTTTGCCATGTTACCTGGAACCCTGTCATGGATGCTTTCAGCATGACTCTGGAGTGGGCGAGACCTGACCTGGTCCCCAGATTTGTCCTTGTGTGGCGTGACGGTGTGGAGCTAGACAGTAAAAAACATGGATCCTACGAGGGAAGAACGTCACTGTTTAGTGATGAACTGAAGAACAGAAACATTTCACTGAAACTCTCCAAAGTTAAAATATCTGATGCAGGAAGATACATTACATTTAGCCGACACTTTTATCCAAAAGCAACTTAAATTGTTATAACTGTCAGAAGTCGCATGTCTCCAGAGCAACTAAGGGTTAAGTGTCTTACTGATGGATACATTGGTGGATGTGTCACAGTGGGGAGTTGAACCCGGGTCTCACACGAAAGGCATGTGTCTTATACACTGCTCCATTGCGACCCCAATGATACAAAGAAGCAGATGCTTCATCCCAGCACTGAGAACAGACTCAGCTGTTCTGCTTGTTGTAGGTATGTTGGTGTATTTTGTCTTTAGTTTTGAAAGTAATGTTAAGGACAAGTCTGATTCACACAGTGTCATACTGGGAACTGACTGGTACAATTTCAGTCCTCACTGGTTTTCCCCAAGAGCTGCTTGATGGTACTTACAGAAGAAGCCAAGAGCATTAAATGTACTCAGTTTTTTTGCAGCTCCATGCAGTTTTATCAGACCTCCCAGTTTCAAGCAAGTACTTGTGTATTTGTTCCCTTGTATCCCAAATGTACAGTTATATTAACTTCATTAAAGATTCAGCAGGTATTTCTGTTAGTCCAGAGTGAGGACCTTAACGTCATACTCTCAGGGTGTTCCTAATCCAGATTTTGTTATATAGCTCTTTCGTTATCTCCCTCTTGCTTCTCTTTGGCCTCAGACTCTCCACTGAACCTTCATACTACAAACCAACACCCTGATGTGCTATTTCAGAAAATTCAGAGCTCGTTAAGTTCATCAAGGGAAGAATATTGAGCATCATGACAATTATTCCAGTAGTTGTTGAGATATTTTTAGGGCTGCTCACTAAATGTTGATTTTTATCATGTTCAGCCTCAATTGGCCCTTGTCAATTGAGTTGACTTGAAAAATTCTGGTTTGAGTACATCCCTTTACATTTCACTGAAATCCAAAAGTGTCATCTTGCTGGTGGTGCTTACTAGAAGATATCAGGAATAACCTAGGTCATAAAGATTCATCCTCTGGGGTGCATGTACTGTATGTCTGTACGACTTTTTGTACCAATCCATCTTGGAAATGTTGAGATATTTATCTGGAGAACTCACAACATTGATTTAAGTTGATTAATTATATTTAATTTAATTAATTATAAGTTGATTTCATATCTACATATAGAGACTTTAACTGGAGACTCCACATTACTCACCAAACTCTACTTGTTCTCAGCAAAGAGTCACCTGGTCAAGAGTTCGACAGCTTGTTCTGGTCGCTGGTCTGAGTTCAGCGGTCGCTGTTTCCACTACGTTCCAAAACCCATGACTTGGGCCAAGCTGAGGTAAAGAGGGAGACTTTTTAGTCACTGTTTTAGTACAGAAGGCTTCTACAATATGTTTATTTTGTTTGCACATACATAGACATTTGGTTAATTTGCAATTTATCTCTCTCTCTCGTATTTATCTCCACTGTAGAAAAACTGTGA